ATGACGCCAATGCTGCAGCGGGAGCACGATTCGGAACGAGCGGAAGCACGGAAATGAGGCCAGCGTTGCAGCGGGAACACGATTCGGAACGAGCGGTAGCCCGAATATAATGGCAGCGCTTCAGCGAGAGCAGCATTTTGAAACAAAACCCAAGCGAGAACCAGTTTCCCTGGAATCCTGTGTAAAAAAACTAGTACGCGGAGGGGGGCCGAATATTTCACTGGACGCACCAGGGGAGAGAGGAGAGTAGTATTCAGATTGTGTACTTGAAGAGGGGGAGGGGCCAGGAGGAGGGGGCAAGCTAGGTGCGCTCGTTTCGTATCTGACGTCCGACCCCTCCCTCCCATCCCTTACCATGGCCTAGATATCCTCTCTATTCGCACAGTCGGATGTCGAGCAGGGCAATGATCGCGAGAAGTTGCGCGAGGCATGGTAGAGCACGACGTGGCATGGCGTAGAAGAGCACGGCAGAGCGTAGCATGCCATAGCATGGCGTGGCAGTGCGCAGTGAAGCATTGCATCACAAAGCGTTGCAACGCAAGAAATGGAATCGCACAGCGGCGCAGAACACACGACCGCACAGCATGTCATGGCATGGCGCCGGGTTCCTTGGAGGGTAAGTGGATCGTCTTCGAGAGGTCTGGGCTGGTCTGGAGTCGCGGCTCCATGTTTAGCTCCTTGGGCCCCCTAAGAAATCAATTCCACAGGGCGGGGGAGAGCACCCGTTGGCTTTGCTTCCAACATCTCCTTCTCAAAGCAGAAACGGGGCTCCCGCTTGATATTTTCTGAAAACGACGACGCCCCAAAGTGGGGGGAGGGCTTCTGCGGCCCAAAAATCAACGAATCGACACCGAATCTGTAATTCACTTCCGATGGTTTTTTCGGGGGTTCAATTTTTTAAATACTGGGGCCTCTTTGGAAGGACCGAAAACGCCCGCGCTGCAGCGAGAACACGATTTCGAACAGCCAGCGGCGCAGAAATCGGGCCAGCGCTTCAGCGGGAGCAGCATTTTGGAAACAAATCTAGCGAAAACCCGTTTCCCGGGAATCCTGTGTGTAAAAAAAAAACGCGGAGGGGGGCTGGATATTTCCCGGACGTCATCAGGGGCGAGAGGAGAGTAGTATCCATAATGTGTAATTGTAGAGGGGAGAGGAGGAGGAGGGAGGAGGAGGGAGGAGGGGGGAGGAGGAGGGGGAGGGGGGAGAGGACAAGCTAGGTGCGCTCGCGTCATATCTGACGTCCTACCCCTCCCTCCCATCCCTTACCATGGCGCTGATTTTCTCTATCCGCGGACGCGTGTCGTAGCGGACCTGTGGCTCCGCGCGCGCGTGCGTAGTGGGTGGTGGTGCACGTGCGTGCGTGCGTGCGTGTGTGCGTGGTTGTGGTGGTGGTGGTGGTGGTGGTGGTGGTGGTGGTGGTGGTGGTGGTGGTGGTGGTGGTGGTGGTGGTGGTGGTGGTGGTGGTGGTGGTGGTGGTGGTGGTGGTGGCTGGTGGTGGTGGTGGTGGTGGTGCTGGTGGTGGTGGTGGTGGTGCTGGTGCTGGGTGGTTGGTGGTGGTGGTGGTGGTGCTGCTGGTGGTGGTGGTGGTGTGGTGCTGGTGCTGGTGGTGGTGGTGCTGGTGGTGGTGGTGTTGGTACTGGTGCTGGTGCTGGTGGTGGTGGTGGTGGTGGTGGTGGTGGTGGTGGTGGCGGTGCGGCGCGGTGGTGGCGGGCGGATGGGCGCGCGAGAAAAAGGCCCGCGCTGGGGCGAGAACGCCATCCTGAACGACGGAGGCCAAACACCGATCCGAAAATGAGGCCCACGCTGCAGCGGGAGCACGATTCAGAACGATTCGGGAGCAGAAATGAGGCCGGCGCCTCAACGAGAGCAGCATTTTGGGAAAAAATGACGCCGGCGCCTCAGCGAGAGTCGTTTCCCGGGATTTTTCGGGCATCCTGTGTGTAAAAAAACAGTGCGCGGAGGGTGCGCGGCTATCACCCGGACGCCATCAGGGGAAGGATTCGGGAGCAGAAATGAGGCCGGCGCCTCAACGAGAGCAGCATTTTGGGAAAAAATGACGCCGGCGCGAGAGCAGCATTTTGAGAAAAAATGACGCCGGCGCCTCAGCGAGAGTCGTTTCCCAGGATTTTTCGGGCATCCTGTGTGCAAAAAAAAAAACAATACGCGGAGGGTGCGCGGCTATCACCCGGACGCCATCAGGGGAAGAGGGAGAGTATATTCATATTGAGTAATTGTGGAGGGGGAGAGGGAGGGGGAGGGAGGGGGAGGAGGGGAGAGGGGAGAAGGTCGTGGCCCACACCCAGCTCGCCCCTGACCTCCGTGCGCCAGCGGGCGCCGCTGGCGGGCTGCGCGCCAGCGTGCGCCCCGCGGGCGGCGCGCGCGCGCTGGCGCGCGGCCGGTGGCTGCCGGCGGCCGGTCGCCGCGAGCCCCGCGAGCCGCAGCGGCGCTGGCCCTTTGGAAAGAGCGTCGCCGCCGCGCCGCCGCCGCCGCCGCCGCTGCGCCGCCGCCGCTGCTGCGCCCGCAGCGGCTGGCGCAGCAGCGGCGGCGGCGCAGTGGCGAGGCCCGCGCGCCGCGAGCCGGCAGCGGGCGCCCCGAGAGATCCGGCCATCCTTGGCCACTTTGGCTGGCCGCGCCCCGCTCGAGAAGCCTCGAGACGGCCTTCCAAGGCCTTTGCATCCGTGCCTCCTGGGCCCATCCTTGGCCACTTTCGCTGGCCGCGCCCCGGTCGAAAGGTTCGAGATGGCCCTCCAAGGTTCTTGCATTCTTATCGCGCATCCTTATGATATGGACCGACTGTAACCCTTAGGGAAACTCAGCCCCTTTTTGTCCTCTTCTGCAATCGAGAAGGGGGGATAATGATGATGATGGTGTTGACGATGGTAATGATGATGATGATGATGAGGAGGAGGAGGAGGAGGCGCCTGATGATGATGGTGATGATGATGATGATGATGCTGAAGCTGATGCTGATGCTGCTGATGATGATGATGATGATGATGATGATGGTGGTGGTGGTGGTGGTGATGATGATGATGATGATGATGATGATGATGATGATGATGATGATGATGATGATGATGATGCTGATGATGATGATGATGATGATGATGATGATGATGGTGGTGGTGGTGGTGGTGATGATGATGATGATGACGCTGATGATGAGGAGTAGGAGGAGGAGGAGGCGCATGTTGGATCCTCTGGCGAAATACTTAGCGCGCGACACCGACATGGATGCACTGGGAAGGGACGTCCGATCGACGGCGAAAGTCACCGGACAGACTCCTGGAAGGAAAAAGGTGCCGTCACCGCTGCTCTTCCGAAGTTCTGGTCAGAATTCGCACGCCAGGAGAGTTCCGAGGAGCAGCGGTATCGGTACCTGTCGGGCGGGTGCTCATGGGGGGTGACCCAAATGTGGGGTGAAGAAAGGGGCCCTAAAGAGGCACTTTAGGGCCCCTTTAGGGCCCCTGTTGGCTCCAAAAGGAGCCCTAAAGTGGCCCTTTAGAGCTTCTCCTTCACCCCCACTTTAGGTCACATTCCGCTAGCACCCGCCCGAACATGTTTACCCCTCCAAGATGCCCTAGAATCTTCCCCCGAGCCTGGTCATAGACTATCGATTTTTTGCTGGTCGCGACCAACGACGAAAACAAGTGGTATCCAATGATACGGCTTGTCCCCCCAGAGATTCGGCGGCGACCCCGGGGGGGAAGCGGGAAGGGGCGGGCATTCTCAGAGACTTGGAAGTCGAAGTTTTCTAACCCTTCCCCGAGGACACGGAAAACTTGTCAGAAGGCGCGAGGGCCTCCGAGAAGCCCCGCCGCCTTCTGAGAAGGCCTTCGCCTTCTCACTTCCCTCCCCCGTTCGCCGCCGGAAAGATGCCTAGGAAATCCTCCCCCAATGGCAGGGCGCCCCTTGGGGGGGGGCGCAGGGCCAACCGCGCATGTCGCGCGCCGCGCGTTCCGGGCCAGAGTTTTTTGCTGTCCCTCCCGCCGAGGGAGCGAAGAGGACGCGAGGGGCGCGAGGGCGCGAAGAGGACCGCGCGTCGACCCCCGATCGCCTACAGTCAACCCGCACAGCAAGGAAGAGCAGCTTCCCCCCTGCATCCCGGGGCTCTCCCACGGCCCACACGGCCGCGACAAGACCTACTCGGGATGGAGGGCTCAGTCTGGGGAGAGCACTGGGGTCCAGCACCCGTTTCCTGGAGGACAGCCTCTCTTGCGAAGAGGAGGAGGATCGGGGTTTGCAGATTCGGAGTGTTTGCTCTTTCTGGCCTCCGCGCGCATCCCTTGGACGAGGAGGGTCCCCACATCCGGGCAACTTTCTAAGGTTACCCTCGCATCCTTCCCCTTCGGCCCATCCTTGGCCGCTTTCGCTGGCCGCGCCCCGCCCGCAAGGTGTCGACAAGGCCTTCCAAGGCATTTTTGTTTAGGTTTTTTTACCTTCTTTCACGGGTTGACTGTACTCATCGCCGATACGGAGGGGGCGTTGATTCAGGAACGTGCGCGGGAGGCTTCAGACCCTGGAGGATTCCTTATCTGATGAAGGCGGCGGTGATGTCCATGGCCAGTCCACGACTGGAGTTCGACTGGCTTCCAGACCCCTAGACTCCTTACCTGAGGGCTCCTCATCCAAAGCCCTCATCGTGTCCATACCGTGCGTCCATCTTTTACGTGTTGACTGTACTCATCGCCGATGAAGGGACCTGACAGCCCGCCTCACCCAGGAGTCAAGGGCATAACAAACGCCCCTACCCTGGTTTATGAGGCGCTGTGCGCTGAAACTCCTGTGGGCTGAAACCTGCGTTATATGCGCCCCTGGCGGCTCTCTAGGCTTTGGGGGTTCCCAGGAGGTTTACAGACCACGCACTTGTAACCCAGGGCAGGGTCGTTTTCTCATCCCTCAAAGGAGCGCTGCTCCTCCCAGGGCCGCAGCTGTCTCGGCCCGCGCAGCGGCGGGCCGCGGGGTCTCGCGCCTCTGCCCAGGCCTCGGGTGCTCGGCCGATGGCGGCGCAGCAGCCGTGCGCCGACGGGCCAGAGGCTAGCGGCTCCGAAGTTGGGTGCCGATTCCCGTCGACTCGGCTTTTCCCGGCTCGGCTGCCGAGTCACGTCGGCCCGACTCCTTTCGATCGCCGGTCCGACTCATCGATTCGGGGCTCTGCTCTCCTGCCAGCTCGGGGAGAGCCCTGACCTTTCAGAAGGGCTAAGAAATGGCACCAGGACCTCGACGTCTAAATTCCAGTCGAGGTTGTCAGCAGTCCCGATAGGTCGATCGGTCTGCAGGGCTGCTCTTCTCTGCACTCCGGAGGGTCGGGGAGGAACGAGACCGCGAAGTCATGATCACAACCGCCGCCTCCGTACAGAGTGGAGTGGGCCTTCTGCGGAGCAGGCTCGCGCGCGTGAGACGTTCCACCAAAGACATGTGCCCCCTCCCTTTTTTCTTAGCCGAGCTCCGAGGCGGTCCTCCGCCTGTAGCGTCAGTATGCCCCATCCCAGGCCACCTCCTGGGGGCCCGAGAGAGGGGCCCGACAGAGGGGCCGACGAGCCGCCCGTCTCCGCGCGCCAGGGGCCGCCCTCGCCAGGAGCGCACCTTCTCGGCGGCGCCCCCGCATATACGGACACGACGCGTGCGCGTCGTGCCGCCGTGGGGGCGCCGCGCGCTCCGAGGAAGCTTATTAGTGTGTGCATCGGTGGCGCTCTCTGGCCGCACCGCTCGGGCAACGTGACGCTACAGACTACAAGATGGTTAATCAGGAGGGAAAGAAACACACAGACACAATTAATCGTCGACTCCCAGGAAAATATGCAAAAATATGGGAAGTGGTGGGGAAGACAAAACTCCAGAAAATATGGGAAAATATGGGGGATATTTTTATTTGTGTGTATTTATTTGTGTGTTCCAGTTCCCCTTCATTTAAGCTGCACGATCGGGTCGGACGCGCGCCTCCGAGAAGGACACGCGAGGCGTTCCAAAAAGGGCCTTGCCTTTGGGGATCGAGGGAGTGGTCGTCTCTTCCGCCGCGGGAGGCGGCAGAAGGTCGGCGAAAGGGGGAAGGGCGGCTCCGTCACCTCTGTGCTCGCCCTACCTTTAGGGCACCAGCCGACTCCGGGCCGCGCCGCGCTGGGCCCCCCCCCCCCGGCGGCGCCTCCGGCGCCGCCCCTGAGGCGCTCCGCGCGCCAGGGAGGGGGGTCGAGCGCGGATCCCAGAAATCCGCGCGGAGCGCCAGAAGTTTACGTTTATCGCGTTGTTTCTTCTTCTACCCCAAGAGATTGAAAACATATTTGGGCGCAGGGATTCCAGAGTCGCTCATCCAGTACTGGTATGTCTCTGTGCGTCCCACTTCCCGGGGCGGGCCCACCGAGGGTCCCCCCCCCCCCCCCGGCACCGGCCTGCGCGCGTTTTGGCTTGGCCTCCCCGCGGCCCCCCTCCGAAAAAGCCGCGCACCAACGGGCACTCTCTTGCCAAGGGCCACCCCTGCGTGTAGCCTTAAGAGTCGGGCATGTCCCTCTACAGGAGGAATGTTATTCAAAAGTCGTCAAAGAAATACGATTCTGTGACTATTTGAGTTTTCTGCCAAAATCCGGCTGCAGGAGGACATGCCCGACCTAAGTGTAGCCGGAAATGTCTCTCCCCTAGAGGGCCCACCTTTCTTTGGGAGCCTCCCAGCCCCGAAGCACGTTGCATCGCCAACACATCGGCGATGCATGGGCGACTTCTGCGATGCGGTGGTGCCGTCGGCGTGGAGAACATCAAGCTCCACATTGAGCCGGGTCGCCGATGCATCGGCGTTGCGGCGCGATCTTCAACGGCTTTTCTCTCCAACCCACTTGCGAAAGGTAAGCTACGCATAGAATTGTATCAATATATATATATATGGATGAATCAAAGTGAAGTAATTCAGAGAAATCGGGCCATTTCCAGAGATATCCAAGCAAATCTGGAAAAGTAGTGGAAGCTCTAGCACGAGTGGAGGAACAGCAGAAGCCGTCAAGCCCTGGACGATCATCCGCCGATTGGCATTTTCCCCCTTAAAGAGCCCAGGGTGTGCTTTAATTTGTGAACTGTCCCTGGTCCTCAACTTGCGTGGGGCAGGCGAATTTTTCTTTGATGAGTAATGGGATCGCGTAGGGCTGGCAGATTTCGATTAAGTCTCCAGCGGGAACCGCGTTGTGGCTTGTTGAAGATGTCTCGAGCGAAACGCTTGCTTTGCAGAGTCTGAGGAACCTGGACGCTCCATAGTGCTTCAGGAGTCTCTGAGACGCACCTATCAGATTCTCGTAAGTTTTGCATTCTCGAGGTGCCCCACACAGCACAGGTCAGCACACCACGACGCACCACAGTTTAGCACAGCATGGATAAAGGTTGCACCAGATCTGTGATATTCTGCGACTGTCTTGTCTCTCGGATTGCTGTTCCTTCGGCAAGAGACGCTGTGTGGTTTCGGGAGGGTGTGCCGAAACGTATTCGGCTAGCCCCAGTATTGGTTCGTCTTGCCTCGATTCCATTCGGCTCGGTTCGTTCCTCGCCTCGGGTCGGAGTCGGAGGAGGAGCAGGAGGAGGAGGAGGCGGAGGAGGAATATAGGAGGAGGAGGAGGAGGAGGAGGAGGAGGAGGAGGAGGAGGAGGAGGAGGAGGGGGGGGAGGAGGAGGAGGAGGAGGAGGAGGAGGGGCTTCGTGTTGGTTCGGCTCGTCCTGTCTCAGTTCGTCGCGTCTCTGTTCGCCGCGTTTCGGTCCGTCCGTTGTCGGTGCGTGTCGCCTCGGGGTTGTGTTCAGTCTTAGTGCGTCCCGCTCTTTGAAGCGGAATCGGATCTTTAGCTCGAGCTGGTTGAGCGCCCCGCACGTTTCGATTGCAACCCGCTCCGGGCGAGCCATGCGCTCAGGCAGCTCGAGCTCAAGATCCAGATCAGTTCGGTCTGGATCGGGATGCCTGGGACGACTTGACCTGCAACGCAATGGAACACAGCACAGTTCAACACAGCATGTCGCAGCACAGTTCAGCACAGGTTGGATCGATCGCAATTTGTGCCAGGTTCGCGGCCCTGGGGGGCGCACATCCCTGGTAATGCACGAGTGTCTTGTCCTCGGATTGCGGCTCCTTCGACAGGAGACGCTATGTGGTTTTGGGAGGATGCGCCAAGACGTAGTCGGCTCGTCCCAGTCTCGGCTCGCTTGACCTCGATGCGAGTAGTGTCTGCTTGGCCCTCGTTTGGGTTCGTGTTCGTGTTGTGACGGTTTGTCCTATCTCAGTTCGTCGCGTCTCGCTTCGCCGCGTTTCGTTCCGTCCATTGTCGGTGTGGTTCGCTCCGGTTCGGATTCGCTGATTCGTGGTCCGCCCCGTTTCGGAACTGAATCGGGTCTTGTTTTCGAGTCGGTTGAGCGCCCCGCGCGCTTCGATTGCAAGCAGCTCTGGGCGAGCTGTGCGCTCAGGCACGTTCCCTGGCGTGCCCTCTGGCGCTTCCACTGGCACGTCCTGTGGCTTGTCCACTGCAGGGTTGGTCATCCCCCTGGCACGTCCAAGGACACGTTCCGTGGCACGTCGTCCACTGCAGGGCGCTTCGTTCCCCTGGCGCGTCCCCTGGCACGTTCCGTGGCACGTCCCCTGGCGCGTCCGCTGGCGCGCCTCCCTGGCCTGCGCGTCCACTGGCACGTCTGCGGCGCGTCCCCTGACACGCATCCCATGGCACGTCGCTTGGCACGCTCCCTGGCGTGTCCCCTGGCGCTCTTCGTCGGCACGTGCCCCGTCGCGTGCAATGCCGCGTCGCCTGGCTCGTCCCGTGGCATGTTCCTTCGCTCGTCTTGTGGCGCGTTCTCTTGCTCGTACTCTGGCGCTTCCCCTGCCTGTTCCATGGCACGTCCCCTGGCGTGTCCCGTGTCACGTACCCTGGCGCGATCCCGTGCACGTCCATTGCTCGTACCATTTACGGGCGACCCTTTTTATTTTATATCGCTTACATGCAACTTGCAATTTTGCACCCTTGACGTGCAACCACCGCTCTCGTGCAAACCACCAGAATGTTGCACCGTTTGCATGCAACCGTCCGTGTTGCACCATCTGCGTGCAGCCCTCTATTCTGCACCGTTGATGGGCAGCCGCAGCACGGCACGGCGCAGCACAGCACAGCCCTTGGCACGGTATCGCCAGCCTCGCTTTCTGCAGCATGGCCATTGCCCATCCCTCAGTTGAGGTGTTTGGGAACATGTCCACGCCTCACAGTGCTACATCCATCTCTGGGTTCGCGGGTCGCTCATTTTCACTCCGCGAGCCCGCAGGTCCCGACCGCTTCCCCGGGGTCAGCTTCTCATCCAGGAGCCGTTTTTGACGGCCCAGGGACCCGAAGGCGGCCTGCGAGGGCCGAAGTCGAAGAATCACGCCGGCATCGAACAACACCTACCGTCGGAGATCTGCTTGCTCGGACCCCATCTGGGAGGCCCTCCTCCCACAGCGAGGCCAAGCCGCTCGCCTCCCCCCGCAGCAGCCGGCCGGACGACTCCTGGATACGACCCGAGGGCGCCGAGGCCGCCGAGGACGCCGACGCCAGCGCGGGCAGTGGCGCTGAGGCGGCGGCGGCCATGAGCGAGGAGCACGTCGTCCTGGTGGAAGGAGGAGAAGGAGAACGAGGAGGAGGAGGAGGAGGAGGAATGTGCATGGGAATAGTGGAGAGTGTGCATAGGAGGAGGAGGAGGAGGAGGAGGAGGAGGAGGAGGAGGAGGAGGAGGAGGAGGGAAGGAGGAGAAAGAGAGGAGGAGGAGGGAGGAGGAGGAGGAGGAGCGAGGAGGAGGAGGAGCGAGGAGGAGGAGGAGGGACGAGGAGGAGGAGGTTGGAAGTGGAGGAAGAGGAGGAGGAGGGAGGAGGAGGGAGGAGGTTGGAGGAGGAGGAGGAGGAGGAGGAGGAGGAGGAGGAGGAGGAGGCGGAGGCACCGACACTGATGCCCTTCGCTTCCCTCGGTTCCGTCTTTTCAGGCCTCGGGGGAGGCCCTCGTCGCCACGGCTCGGCCACGCGCAGA